TTCACAAACACGTGGCCAGAGTGCACAATGCTGAAATACAGCAGCTCGCACAGGACGAGTATGAGCGTTTGTTGAGCCAACTGGAAGAAGAGCCCGAAGCAGCGCAGGCGCAGGTGAATGAGCACAGTGGAGAAACGGTGGACGTCTCTGTGTGGATTCGCGATATCAGCCACATCTCTGAGGAGCAACTTAAAAAGTAAAGACAATCTCAATACAGTTATTTCACTATATTCTATATTTCTAATCTATATATGTAGATTATTAATGAATTAATGAATTGATTAATTTTTGAATTTGATGTTTTATTTTTGTTCTTTGTTCTCTCGTTCGCCATCAGCGGTCCAGGCAGGGTTCTGCTTTACTATCACTACTGTCGCGTCGAGGAGCCACATGTCATCTGTGCTTGGCAGAAAGCTCTGTGTGAGAAGCTCCACTTAACGGGCAAGGTGAATGAATTGTGCCATCAAGTCTCGGGTTGAGGAACACTTCTATGAAAGAGCAAAGAAAAAAGCTTTTCTCTTAATTTCAGTTAAACTGTGCCATTAAAATATATGTTGATCTTTTTCTTCAGGTGAGGGTGGCGACTGAAGGCATCAACGGAACAGTTGGTGGCACAAACTTGGCCACTGACATTTACATAGAAGCAATGCGTTCACATCCACTGTTCGAGATGGACGAGGAGGATTTTAAGGTCAGAATCAGATAATGGGACATTTTATATACTAGTGTCACCTCCCCCTCTTAATGTTGCTTCATAGGATCATAGGACTCTGTTATAGGCTCCATTATAGGTTTGTCCATAATCAGACTTTAAGCAGTTATTAATTTATTTTTGTTAATCTTTGAATATTAATGGTGCTGTTTTTGTGGGTTTGTTCAGACCAGTGACGGTGGCGCAGAGTGTTTTACAGAGTTGAAGGTTGGGGTCTACAAGGAGATTGTCCCAATGGGAGTGGACCCAGATCTTATATCTTACCAGCTGGCAGGTACTATTTGTACTGACACTGTAAGCCTACAGAAATTATTAATAATGTAAGTGACACCTGTAGCTGATTTACTAATATCATTGCCTTTATTATCATAATAAGGTGCGAAATGTCTGCTTTGATTTCTGCTCTGCAGCCATAGCTGTGCTCTTGTACCAGCTGATGAGAAACTCTATGCTGTGCTTGTATATAATGTCAGGTATGTTGTCTGTTTTGCCTCTCAGGAGTTCATCTGGAGCCCGACGAGTTTCATAAAGAAGTGGAGTCTCTTCTGACTAAAGGAGATTCATGCAATGACACCGTCCTCCTGGACTGCCGCAACTATTATGAGAGTAAAATTGTGAGTAGTAAATTTGTTTTCTTTAGGAGATTGTTGACTTCATTCGACTGTAATCTGATCATTTTGGTGGTTTCAGGGTAATGTATGATCTTGGCATACATGTGACATGCCCAGAGATTTATGGTGTAATTTTAAGTTTTTTGTGCACCATCTACACAAGCTACCATGAGCAAATAGTAAGGATGGGCAGAACACTGATATTTGTAGCTGGAAATAATGAGTCTGTATCCAAACAGAAAAGCAGGACTGGGATCAATTTCATAAGCCTCAATATTTTTTTGCCTTCAGGGGCAGTTCACTCAGTGCCTGGCGCCAAATATCCGTAAGTTCAGCTACTTCCCAGACTACGTGGACCAGAACCT